GTCTCCAGAAAGACCCCAGTGCCTTTTGACAATGGCCAGGGTTCTCCCTATTTTCTGCCAGTCTTTCCCAAAGGAAACTCATTCCAAATACTTACCTTTTCCACTGAGGTCTTAGAAGGAAAATGGAATTCTGGTTCATACTGTGGTCCCTTGTAACCTCAGGTCTTTAATGTGATCACTTTCAAATTTAAAAGATGCAGGTGGAAATATTTTTACTATGCTGGTAATAATTCTACACAATATCTGAATTCTTAACAGTTATGTTTCAGTGTAAGTGGTGACTTTCTCTTGTCTTTGATCTGGTTTTGTTCCTGTAATACAGCCACTCAATTTTGTGAGGGGGGGGAATAATACTTGGTTTTTGTACAAACGTGTTTCTCAGTGTGGTGGTGTTTTGGAAAATGAAGGGGGGGAGTTTTGAGAGATTGGAGGAAATTGATCAAGAAGGCCTGACGTCCTCCCTCTTTTTCGGTGAATAAATGGAACGTCATTTCTGGATGCTAGTCCCATTCTCTGCATTCCTCTACCAGTTTCTTCCTGTGTCCTATGAAGAGCCTAAATATTGAGCCTCATCTGGTCCTGGTCAGCAGTTGAAGTTCAGTGCCTTGGGGCTTCCTAACTGTCTGACCACCTTCATGACGCTTAAGGAACATAGTTGAATGTCCTCGCCCACTGTTCATTCCCATGGTCAAAGTGAGGAAAGTGGAAGTTCTCTAGGGAGGGTGGCCAACATGCTGGCACCTCCCAAGAGAGGCCATGTTTTGCTCAGTGAGCTAGAGAATGTTCATCAGGATACAGCTTAGCCCACGTTGAAGGCAGGCCCTGAGGGCAGGTGATGTACTCTTAAGGACAGCCTTTGCACACCCACAGGTGCAAACCCTATTCAGGAAACTGAAAGAAACGATTGTCTTCAAGATGCTTATGAACCGGGAAAGCAAAAGAGGCACATTCTGTGTCTGCCAGGAGGTGCATACTCAGCTCCTCACGAAACTTCCAGGCCAACTGTACTTTGCTTCCTGACCTGCTCCAACTCTTCCTCTGGTAAGAGTGCAGCAGCCAGCTGGGTCTCATGGGATTCCTGTGCTTCCCTACGGATGATGAGGGAGGTCAGTCCCTGATCCAAACTGAAGACGGGTTTACCAGCTTGAATGTAAATTCTTTTTTGAGCATAACAGGACATGCACAATCAATGAGTCTTCCACAGGTTCCTCAGATCCTTACTGTAGAGTAATTCCCCCAAATGCAATAAAGAGCAGCAGTTTGCCAACTTCAGTGAAGTCAGGGTCACCTGCAGGATTGTTTACATCCAAGCTGCTGGGCCCCACCCTCAGATCTTCTGGTTCAGTAGGTCTTGGGTGAGCTGTGAAATTTTGCACTTTTAACAGGTTCCTAGTGGATCCTGGGGACCACCCTTTAGAACCACTGGTTAAGAAGGTTGTGACAGATGAGCAAGTTCACTACAGTTCCTGACAGTTCATTCTGAGTCCATTAATCCAGTAAACACTTGAGGGCCTACTATGTGCCAGGCATTGGAACTTGCATGCAGTGAAGTCATAATTATGAATAAGGCAAGGCCCCTGCAATCCAGGCTACTTACATTCTTGTGGGGTGAGGGACACCAGACCATTTCATAAACAGTTAATACCAAATATGATTGTTTTAGTGCCAAGTGTTTGTGAAGAAAAAAACGGTAATCAAGACTTCTGGGATTAATAGGATATTCTTCCATGATGTCTGCCCTGGTAGGTGTGAGAACCCAAGGGTTGACCTTCATTCCAGGAAAACCTCCATCTGAAGAATCCGAACACCCTTTCATCTGGCTACACAAATACCAGCCCCTGAGATTTTTTTCTACAAACTTCTCTGCCTGTAACTTTTATTATAAAGCTGCTGCTTTCTACAATTCCAAGAGCATAGCTGTTCAGTTGCTCCTGTTGAAGGGGGACTTCTTCCTGGAACGCTGTGAAAGTACTGTGACCCCTGCTAATGGGTTATCTCCATTTAAGGATGTTGTCTTTCAGAATGGGATGTAAAGGTATATGCTTGATGGAAGTGCTGCATTCTTTCAAGCCCAGGACCCTCAACGTTGGATCTGCTTGTGAACAGCTCAGTTTTAGGCCTGCCACTGCTCCTGTCATTAGGAAGTACCTTTGATCCTGAGTTCCTTGAAACACCTGAGACAAGACTCATACCTAAAGAGTGACTAAAGGGAGAGAGAGTTCCATGAATCGACCTAAACAGATTCCAAAACCAATTCTAGCTAGCTCTCTCCAGGACCAGCCCTGTTCCAACTTTCCTGGGACCCCAGGGGGAGAGAGCCTTGTCTTCCTGCTCCAGACGGAAGCCATCTTTACTCCCTTCTGCCCCAGAGGCCTTTCCAAACCCATGGGTAGCATCCAGGTGACATTTCTGGCGGCCACCTTACCACAACCCACCCTTAGGGTACAGCCTTTGCAGGCCTCAGCAAAATAGCCATGCCTTTATACAGTGCCATGACCACCATCTTCAGACAACTGAGAAGAGAGAGAAAAGGCCTCCCACTCTGGTTCTTGGGGAATCTACTGCCTAAGGTGCCCTCACTGCCAGATAGTCCAAGAGGGGGTTAGGAAGAGCAGGGCTCTTGGTTGGTAATAGCTTTTTTTGCACAGGCTGATTTCTGTGGCTGGTTTGGTCCTGGCGCTGAGGGACTGCCCATAGCCTTCCAAATTGGCTGGCATTCCTTTTCTGGTCTGCAGTAGCTACAGGGTTCCCGAGGAGCACAGGTCACCTGCTGGGGCAGCAGGGCTCTTCTGCGGACAAGCCTACTTGCTCCACATCTGAGGCTCTCTGTTGGCCTGTGCTATGTGGCTGTCACCAAGCTGACTTGACTTTGGGATAATGAAAATGAGGTGCCTTTCCAATCTTGTAGTAGACCTGCTGCCCAGATAAGATGAAAGCCTCCAAGTTGTGATGTCCTTTGCTAGAACTGAGAGCACTTGTGCGGCTCAGAATCCAGAGTTCCCTGCAGCAGTGAGCTGCTGGTCAGCACAGAGAATTCAAGCTTCTGACCCTTTGCTCCTTCTTCCTGGTAAGGTACAAGCCGGCCCATTCGCAGCAGCCCCGTCACCAAAACGGTCACAGAGCCAACTGCCCTGCAGCCCAGAACTGGTGTCTATCTAGTACACTGTCAGGAGGCCATTCTAGATGTCCCTTTCTGACTGACCTAGGACATGGGTCTGGACGTGTTATGTGCCCTGTTAACAGCTCCTAGCATTAACCCATTAACTCATAAACTCCCAGGTGGAAGTGGGGGGTTGGAGGGCGAGGCAGGGCTTCCATTCTGCCAAGTGAGGCCCTACCTCTACATCCTGATTTCTGAAGTTAAGCAAGAATGAAAAGCCTCCATATGAAGAGGAAAAGGTTTGAAATCAAGATCTTAGTTCAAGTCCTGGTCTTTCCACCTGATCATGATCTCAGTGTCAGTTTGTAAATGTGTAAAATGACCAGTAAGGTGTTTGTAGTATGGTTGTGAAGAACATGACAAATCGGACCACCAGGAAGCGAGAAACAGATGTTAGTTATTACTACTGAGAACTTAAAGCCAGGAACCATGCCGCTTCCTGTGCGGACGGAAGGATGTCCCCAGCCGAGGCAGCTGGAGCAGCTCCTGCCCTAGACGGCAGCCCCTGGTGAATTCAGGGGCTTGCTGTGCACAGGGAGGCAGGCTGTAGCCATGGTAATGGGCCTTGCGCCTTTGGTGCTGGAGGCAGGTTGCCAAACCCAGTAGGAACCTCAGAGGAATGTAGTAGCCACTGCCCCGCAAAGCATCCCTGATGCCCAAATGCACAGGACTTGAATGTGGGGACATGGTAGCCCTAGAGGTCAATTTCCTTTTCTTTCTAGTTCCTACATCTTATATATATCCTCCTCGTTAGCCTACCCTAGCCCTTGTTCCCAGAAAAGATAATTACATTCATTTGATACTCTGTAGTTACCACTTTGACATATATGAGACTCGGGTTACTGACTGTCCCAAGGTCACACAGAACTGATGCCAAATCCTGCTGTTCCTATCACATTCCACTGCCTGGATGAGCTGCCATCCATCTTGTGGAGGCATCGCCCAACCAGGTGTGCTGTGCTCAGTTCTCAGTGCTGGTGAGATCTACTAGGGAGGACCAGAATGAAACTAAATGGCAAGAACTGATTGAAAATCCCAAAATGAGGAAGTTGTAATAGTTTGTCTCCAGGAAAGGGGAGGATGTTCAGGAAGGAAATATTTTACACCATATACTTATTTAATTCAAAAGTTAATTTAAAAGTATATTTAAGCATTCAACAAAATTATTAAAATGAAAAACTGTTAGGTAGAGTTTTAAGAAAGAGGTGGGAGAAGGGTCCCCATCCAGACCCTTCCTGTAAAAAACATCAGAGTGGCTGTCAACGTCCTAGACGTCAAAGGACCCACCATCCGTGAAGCGTCCTTCCCACACAGACTGGCCTCAAGAAGGAGGGGGTAGGTAGGCATGGCCACCAAGATCCTCCATTCTGACAACCACTACCAAGAGTCAAGGAGATAGAAGATACAGACAAGGGAAGCAGAGATGGGGTTGGAGGGTGCATTAGTGCCTCCGGCCAACAGGCATGGGCAAAGCCCTGCTCAGCCCTCTGCTCAAAGAAGGCTGTATTTCAGGGC